TGGGGATTTTGTAAATATATAACAGAAATACCAGACCAGGTGTGGCAGTAATATTCAATATACAGATGAATTGTGGACTTATAAAGGTGTAAGAGAGATTCGGGTGAGTAAAATTGTTTAGCACAGTGGAGTGAACATAGTTCAATGTATCTTCCTTTTGTAATATTAAAAGTAATTAATTAATTAATTAGTATCTGTGTATATTTCTGAGATGAGGTATTATGTACACTATTTACATTATTCGGACTATTGTCCTCATCTTTGTCGCCATATTTATTACAACGTTTCGGCCTTTCAGTATCTGTGTATATTTCTGAGATAAGGTATTATGTACACTATTTACATTATTCGGAATATTGTCTTCATCTTTGTCGCTATATTTATTACAACGTTTTGGCCGTTCTACGCTCCGGCCTTGTTCAGGTGGTTGGAATGTCGAACTAAACCCTTTATTTCGCTTACTGACATCCATTAAACATGGCACGTGGAACTAGAACAGTCTACCCCAGTGAGCGAAATAAAGTGTTTAGTTTGACATGAAGAAGGCCGGAGCGTACAACGGCCGAAACGTTGTAATAAATATGGCGACAAAGATGAGGACAATAGTCCGAATAATTTAAATAGTGTGCATAATTAATTAATATTATAATTAAGTAATTATTTTAGAGGTAGTTAATATTTGTGTACCGCCACAGATTCGCGATACGTAAATTTAAAAATTCATTTTAAATCTTTCTTGTCAACTACGTCATTTAGGCATTAAATAACCCCTAAGTAGTTGATATTCATTAAAAAAAAAACAGGCAAATAAATATGAAAAACCATTTTTAAGCTTTTATTCAAGTTTTAATTTCAAGCTAATAGATTAGATTTAATATTTCCAATAAGTAAAATACTTTGTTGTATTTCAAAACGAATTTAAATCACATGGAAGGAGTTTTCGTTTCGAAATGGATAACATCGTTGAGTTCAGCGACCGTTTTAGCCTCCGTTATCGCAATGTAATTCTCTTTGTTAAAAAATCTTTCAAAAATAAAATATACTTTTCTTTTATTAGCTGATTTAAACTTTAATTAATCTGATTTGAAGCAAATATTACTTAAAATTTAAAATATCGCAAAAATGAATTTTTTAACACGCCGGTAGCTGTTGACAGCTTGAATGATAAATGATCTAATATTTTCCTACGGCGAATATATCTGTAAAAATTACTTGAAGAATATAATGTGAGCGCGTTTTTAAATAATTTTTAACTACACAATCTTCTTAAAAATTAAAGAATATGTTCTACATAATCTAATGATTTATTGAATTTTAACTAATTTGTCTTTACATTTGCAATAGTTTTCGCTCTTATTTTCTGATAATGTCGTGTATAAACACCCGTATTTACAAAAATCGTCCCGTTTATGCACACATACAAAAATATTCAAAATTCTTTTAAAAATATTGTTGTTTGATAAATTGTACTAAGCTTTTCCATTTATAATTAGTAAATATAGTTTTTACTTAATAACAAAATCACCTACCCAGGACAAATTAATACAGAAATTTAAAAGATTAAAAACTTTATAAATTATTCTAATTAAAATTAAAAAAAATTAATGAAAACAGTTCTCGTAAAAATTCCTTATTCATCGGAAAAAATTATTTCTTTAAAATAATAGTGTCCATAATATATTTTATTTATATAACCAA